ATCAGGGCCAGGGAGTGGAGCACTTCCTGGAGTCCATGGAGCAGTTCCCCGGGAGCAGCGGAGCCTGCGCTAGCCCCCGCCCCAGCCTCCATCCCTGCTTTGCCTCACCTCAGGGAGGAGCCACTGCCTGCCCCGAGTGAGGCTCCTCCGACTCCAGGGAACTGCTCCGCAGGCTCCCCCGGCTCCGGAAAGTGCTACACTCCCTGGCCCTGACTCCATGTGTGTCCTCGCTCCCCTAGGCAATGCGGGGGAGTGGAGCAGCTCCCCAGAGCCGGCAGAGCCCACACCAGCCCCCGCCTCTGCCTCCGCCTAGGGGAGGAGCTTACCTTTACCAAGCATCCCACACCGCAGCCTAGCTCCATTCCTGGTGGGTGCGTGGCCTGAAAAAGTTTGTGTGCAGCCAAACTTTTACTTGTGCGCGGCCGCACACGTGCGCACCTTAGAGGGAACCTTGCCCAGGTTACACACAATTTCATTCAGATGCTGTCAAACTTTACAGACTTGCAGAAAGGCACTCTGCTAAAGCCCTTCCCTTCCTTCCTTATACTTTTCTTTGTCCCAAACTCAAATCAGTTGTCAGTGATTTAGAGATATGTGTATGTGTATGTAAATGTAGCCCAGGTAACTTGGGTATATACTCCCCTTCTCCAATTGAAGGGGCCCTCTGCTTTGCTGCCTTGTGCAGCCCCAGGAGCGGCACCCCTCCCCCTGCCCCTTCCCTAGTCCCAGCCTCACTCCCTCCCTCTCTCACCGCCATGGGAACCTATCCCTATTTATTACACTGTAAAGTGGGTTTGCTATATGTGAATTTGATTTATGCACTGTTGTCCGGGAACACATGTACCGTGTAAATCGAGGGAAACCTGTGCTATAACATGGATCAAGGGGGTCAAGTTCTGTGGCTGCCTGGTCTTACTGCAGTCCTCTGCTCACTGCAATCATTGCATTGAGAGGCTGCAAGTCTTCTGACTTCACGTTGAATCGCCATGAGGACTGCGATTGTGCTCAGTTCATTACCGCTGGATTTGTTAGCAGTTGTGCTTTTCACCAAACCTACACACAGGATAGTCATGTATGTTGATTAATGTTTAAACAAACACTTACCTTTGAGAAACCCTAACTGTACACTGATAACTCATTTCCCCTCCATGCAACATGTTGTATTTTTAGTATTAAATATACATATCCAAAGCTTAACTGCTTTTGCTCTTACTTGCCAAGCAGTAGGTCTGACAAAAATACACCTCCCGTTCTGTGGAGTTTACTGGGTGTCTCAAGACGATGGAAGTGGAGAACCAACACTAAAACAATTAATCATACATTTGCAGTACCAAATTAAGGCTCTTCTCCATGGGGGGAAAACATGCCAAATATATAATAAAGTGTCTTCTTTTGCTTTTGGGACTTTAGGCATCCAGTATTGAAACAAAACAGGAATGGATCAAAAATATCCGGGAAGTCATTCAGGAAAGGATTATCCATTTGAAAGGAGCTTTGAAGGAACCAATCCAGCTCCCCAAGACACCAGCAAAGCAGAGAAACAACAGTAAAAGGTAACCTCCATCTTGCCAGCCCGCCTTCTCTGATGTGTTGTGTGTCCAATTTCTGTTGGGATTACTTACTTCACCAGAGCAGGTGTGCTCCCATTAGTCATTTGAATAGAGGATCTGTAAACAGCTTGATCTGTACAGATGAAAAAAATAAAGACTGTTAGTTGAGCTCTTTCCAAAACACACTGGGGGCACTTAAACTAGAGCTTATTGAACGAGCTTTAGTTCAAGCGCCCCCGCCTCCATTTTGAAGTGTGGGGGCACTGATACATGAGACACAAAGGCTGGCTGGAGCATGCTAATTAGCAGCTCTGAAGTGCTGTAATTACAATGCATTGGAGCAGCCTCCCCGTATGTGTATAAACACCCTTCATTTTTCCCTGGATATGGGGCAGGCAATTATTTTGGGCGGAGGAGCACTTTCTGAGTTTGGCAAGCCATCGAGGACTGCATGACAGGCAGCCAGAGGCAGATAAATATTAATTTTCTAAATTTTTTTAGGGGCCCTGTGGGGTGGATAGAATGGCCTGGAGGGCTGCAGTCGACCTGTGGGCTGCATTTTGCCCACCCCTGCACTGATTTTACTTAGAATTTATACTGCAGTTAAACCCACTTTCCACAAATTTGGCTATTTTTCTGTTGGTGAAATTCTGGAAATTCATGAAAACTTTTTGTGTGGGAGCTAGCCAGGCAACTTTTATGTAAAAATATGTACCATCTCCCTAGTCCCAAACTATTTGCTAATGAATTAACTGCTAGAACAGAATATGAATTCTCAATTAAATCAAAGGATATTTCTTGTGCTGATGTTGCCCCAAGCAGATTGTCACAATCAAGTATCTGAACAAAGGAAAAGAATACACAGTTTCTTGTGCTGCTTGTCAGTGAAAAGCATAAGTATATGGATGGACTTGAGAATATTCATATCGCTATCAAGGATGAGCTGGTTTAGACACTGAGAAATAACAAGACTTTCCAGACAATTTTGAATACTTGATTAGATAAATTATATGAATTAAACCATTTCCAGTGTTGTGCTAATGAAAGCTCCCTCCCACAGTTAAGATCCTCAAAAATAGACCCTATGAGACATACAGAAGCAGTATGTTTTTGTTCTTTACATGGCCCCTATCACAGTGGGATTCGAGCATCTCATAAATATTAGTGTTACTGTCATAACTTCCCATGACCTTGGCTAGTGCTATTATCCTCCTATTAGAGATGTGGAACCGTGCACCCAAAGGCAAAGTGATTTGCTCAAGGTCCTCCAGGAACTCGGTGGCAGAGCTGGAAAGTGAACCCCAGATTAGCTCCTAGGGGCTTGGATCATTTTTCTCGTCACAGACTTTTGTGAGATTATGCAAGGATTTAGGAGTTCTCTTTTGCGGCCCCAAGTCATGCCAAATGTAGCAGAGCTTTCAGGAGAAGGATTGTTTCTTGAATACTTGTTTCAACAAAGACATTCTTCAAAACTGAGAGCGGCAGAGAAACCAGAAATGCAAAAGAAAAGGAATTTCAGGCAAGAAAGAGATGCTCCCTGCCAGCGAGACTGATCATATTTTCTTTATTTATCGTCGGAAAGACAATCCTATCATCTTCATGGCTTATTTTTAAATCCCTGAAAATGTGGGTTACCGTGAGGCTGCAGAAAGGCCGTTTCCCTGCAGGGTAACAAACATCAATGCTATAATTTGGATGACTTGTTTTGGTTAAGTGAGAAATCTAAGTTGAGTGAAATATCTGCCTTGCACCTTCATTATGGAGCTATTCCTAGGAACATGGGCCTTGGCTGCTGTAAATATTCAAGCAATGGCCACTCTGCTTCCAACAACCTAGTGATTATGTGCTAATCCTAACCCTATGGCAGAAGCGATGTCATTTTAAATTACACGGCGGGTAGGAACACAAACTCTATCAGTGGGGTAATCTTTGCACCAATCTTGCTCTAATGTGCTAAGTCGGCACTTCTCAGGTCCAGCTACAACGATTTATGCTCCTCGGGGCTAGTGTAAACCAGGTTGTTTTCCCATTGTCTCCCTGCAGAGATGGAATAGAAGATGTGGACAGCCAAGGAGATGGTAGCAGTCAGCCCGACACCATTTCCATTGCATCCAGGACCTCGCAAAACACAGTGGACAGTGATAAGGTAGGCTTTACCTCTGAACATACACAGAAGTCATTTTCCCCAGGGCAATTTAGGATAAAAGTCAAATAAAAGACAAAAGGACATCACCATTGTGTGGGGCTTTTAGCTGCAATTACAGCTGTGAATCCACTTGCTGAAATAGTACAGGCTAGCCTATGAAGGCATTCCTCATCACTGTTGTGGTACATTGTTTGCTTCCAAGCACTGGTGTCTTTGAAGCACAGCTTCTGCCAAGACTTTGAGTTTGAATTGGCTCTAAAAAAATACAGCCCACAGCTTTTTATTTTTTTCTTATTAGCACTGTGCCAAAGTGAGGCAGATTGTCAGCCACCAGGAAGCGTGTTATCTTCCATAAATCCCACCTGAGCTCCAGTAAATGCTGTTGGAAGGACCACGGGTGCACAGGCAGCAGTAAATGTAATGAGATGACATGCTGGGGCAACTAACACTCCAGTTTTGAGACTCATGTCCAAAGAGAACGATGCTAGAATCCATTCCTCTTGAACATATGGTAGAGCACATTGATAGCACTTTTGTGGCTCATTATATTCCATTATAATCCTGTATATTGTTGGCTTGTGTGTACGATCTGTTGTCCTATTTATTGAATGATCTGAGGATTTACATCCCACTATGAGGACTGATATTGGTATGTCACCCTAATTCTTCCCTCTGTGATCTCCAGCTGCACTTCCAGTCACTCAGAAGTCTCAGTGTAGAAGCACTCATTCAACAGAAATGTAACATTAATAAGCAGGTATTCAAGCTCACCATTGTTGCAGTTCTTGTATCCGTCAAGAGATTTATCCCTGTTTTTACAAATGCAAACGGGCAAAAGAGTGCTTTTTCCAGGATCACCCAGAGTTGGATCTTTTTGTCAGTGGTTCAGTTAGGGTGCCAGTGATGTTAAGCAGAAAGTGCTTTTGCAGCTGTAGACCTTGTATTTGTGACTGTCAAGCTCACAACTGAGCTCTGGTACACCTGAGCTGGGCCTGGAAACATGAATGAATTGTAAATGAATAACCTTTATACGCAAGTCCCAAGGTAATAAGTTATGTTTTCCTCATAGGCACAATCCAATGTAGCTACCTTCTTTTTCCACCAGTAATGCAAATCAGATGATAACGTAGCCTGTCCATGTTCCAAAGGCCCTTGTAAACCTGCACAAATACTTTGTCGGGTGGTGGAGAATATTGTTTTACTTCTTTGCTTTACACATATTTGGTTCTGCAATTCTGCACAAGAAGGCAGTTCCTTCCAAATGCAATTCATCTGTGTTATTCTTGAGGAAGGATCTGATTTAGCAAAGCAATGGAGCGCATGTTTAAGTCCTAATGTGACTTAGGGATGTGCATACAGTTAAGTACATGTTCAAGAGCACTGCTCAGTAGGAAGAGGTCTAAATCTAAGTATGCATTTAAGGCCATGTCTGCACAACCTATCGTGCCTACTGGTGCCTCCAGACATGCTGTGTTGCTCCATGAAGGCTGCCTCTCAAACTCGAAGCAGAATAAACACTCAGTGCAGTGGTCTAGCACAGCAGTTTTCAACCTGTGGTCTGCAGACCCATGAGGCTCTGCAGACTATGTCTAAGGGCTCCATGAAAGAAGACTATGATCAATTAGAAACAGCTGAATACCCACACTTACACTTCAAAGGGTCCACACCTCCATTTGAAATTTCCAAAGGGGTCCACACCCCCATTCCAAAATTTTTAGGGGTCCACAAATTAAAAAAAGGTTGAAAACCACTGCTTTAGTACTACTGAAGGATGGGAGGAATTAGCTCACCCCTAAATTAACCCACCCGCAGTACTATGCAGACCTGGCTACTGTGTGCATAGCTTCAAAGTGCAGCATGCTTAAGGGTGCTGCCAAGAAAAAAGTCAGTTTACAGTGTAGACCTTGCCTCAGTGCTTTATTGAATCAGAGTTGTAGACTCAAAGCCAAGCCCCACTAAAGGGTTTTGATCCTTGATGTTAAGGATGATAAATTGTGGAAGCGAGAGGAAAAGGATTTAGCTTCTGCCTTGCTCCATTAAGGCACCCATGTTCTAAGGAAATTGGATAAACCTCTCCATTTCACCCCTTTTCACTTTTTCCACATCCTGATATGTTAAAAAACAACCCTTTGAGCCTGAATCTGGACCTGCTGTCAGGAGCTTCTGGGTAAGGAGATCCCAAAGCAATACCAGGGCTTAGCCCTTCTAGTACTGACCAGTCTGAAGTAGGAAACTTTCCCAGAGCTTGTGGGATTTAGCCTGGGGTTCTAAATAGACCAACGCACCTCACGTGTGGGTGTTTGTCTCGTAGGAGATCTGACGTGAGGCCATGATTCATAGATGTTAGGGTCAGAAGGGACCTCAGTAGATCATCGAGTCCGACCCCCTGCCTTGGGCAGGAAAGAGCGCAGGGGTCAGACGACCCCAGCCAGGTGCATGTCTAGCCTCCCCTGGAAGCCCATTCCAGATTCTGGCAACCCTTACTGTAAAGAAGTTCTTCCTGATGTCAAACCTAAATCTGCTCTCCATCAGTTTGTGGCTGTTGTTCCTAGTTACTCCAAGGGGTGCCCAGGTAAACAGAGCATCTCATATTCTCCTATTCCTTGCTTCCCCCGACCCCACCTCACCCAATGAATTTGTAGGCAGCCACAAGATCACCTCTCAGCCTTCTCTTGCGGTAGAACTGGAAAGTCTTGGTTTCTATTCTTGTGTGAATCTCTAGTGAAAGGGGTAGTGGTTGGAGAGACTGAGGCTAGGTTACCCAGCATTGTGTAACACAAGTTGGGTAGCACAGATCAAAGATAATTCTGCCTTGGAGTAACGTCAGTTTGAGCTGTCTAATGAGATCTTAAAGAAGCTGGAACTGCCTTCAAGTGTGATCCCAGCACACTGGTATAGCTCGTGTCACTTGAGCACACTTTGTAACACATGCAATATAATTAATTCACAAGCTGCAGATAACAGCCCTACTCAGGCCCCAATATGTAATACCATTTTTAAAAATGATGTTCAGCCTTACTACTCTGCGGGCCAGATGAGTGGTGCATGGGTAGCGTCAGTCTAGCTGGATCCAGTTGGTGTGCAAGGTTGGTTTTCGGCTGTGACCCTGCATGCCAGCCTGGCTCTGCGTGCCACCTCTACTGGTGGTGTGACCCCATGTGCTGTCTCCAGCCCTGTGCGCCAGATCAGGTCCCGCGCACAAGCTCAGCCCCATGTACTAGATCTGAATGCGAAGTAACCTCGCATGCCGGCCATGGTCGCCAATCCAAGAAAACGTTTTACTGACAATCTGCAAATTTTTGACTGACTCTCCCTATGCCTGAAGGAGGGTGTTTGTACCCGAAAGCTTGCAGAGAACATTTTTTCCAACTATTTAGTTGGTCTAATAAAAGATATCACATCTACCCAAAGAACTTTTTACTGTCACGGTTTTACTAATCTGCGTTACATAATGTAAGCATAACTGTTTTGCCATGCTCTGGCCTGCCAGGCCCCAATTAGAAGGGCGGGTTTCTAATGTAAGGGTTTAAAAGCAACCATAGTAAAAAAGTTAAAAAAAAAAAAAATTGGTTGTCACTAACAAGTTTGCCATAAAAAAGTTTTAGGTTGGCAACCCTGTTTAACTGCAGTTTTATTCTGTGCTACTCCCAAAGGTCCCTTACTAGCCTCCATACCTTGATGTGCACCCTACAGCATGCTCCCTCCTACAGCTCACCTTCCCCCCACAGTTTTACTCTCACTGGCCCTGCTCTCCTTATCCCAGCACAGACCCCTGAAGAAACCTACATGCAACCCAGCAGTAGTGTAGGTAACCAGCAGGATTCAGCAGCAGGAGCAGCATTGGGCTGGTGGGAGGGGTCTACAAACCACTGGGAGAAAGAAGCCCCCCTCCCATTCAGACACCAAGTGGTACTGCTGTGCTCAGTCTGTGCTTCAATGATGCCTCCAGCTGCTTTCCCACCATGGAACCTCAATCAGCTCCAGCTGCTTAGAGTTTTTAAGAATGGCTCAATTATTTTTACAGATTTTATGAACAGCCATTTTCAGCCTGCTTCTTTCTCTCTGGACCTGTAGGGAGGCAAATGGGCCACATGACAATCTGGCCCATGGGCCGGAGGTTAAATGCCACTTATCTAAAGCATTGGTTTAATCACTTTCCTTAAGCTTACAGTTAACGTTCATTTTTTTCCTTTTTGTTGAAAGAGATCATTTCCGCCGCCTTATTAGTTTCAGCCTGGAAGCCAAGTTTTTAGAGCTCCTGTATACTGGTGTTTTGTTGCTTTCTGGTTGGGAATGCTGATACAATGGCAAGTCCAACAGCCTGAGAAATCATTTTTGATTTCTCTATATATTAAAGAGTAACAATAAGCAGCAGGGCTATTGTAGGGCCTGGATTTGGCATTGGTCTATGGGTCAGAAGAACTGGATTCTGTTCCGGGTCCTGTCACGCACCCATTGTGCAGAGGAAAACTGGAAAACATGAACCACAGAGGTTCAAAAACAAGATGGCTGAATAAAAGGACACCACCTTTCTTATTTATAAATTCTTGAGATTATTTTCAAGCCGGTTTCCTGATTTTTGGGCGCTGTTATTGATCATGGCTAGATAAACTAGACATGTGTTTAAATCAGTGGGAGCCAAATGGCTACTAATTAGCCCCACACCATCCCCAAGTGCCGTTGTGATCCCCTTCCACTGCCCAGGCTGCTGCTCTGCTTTCTGCACCCTGACCTATCTGCCACCGCATTGCCTGGCTCCTCCCATATCTGCCAGGTCCCATGGCTGCACATGCACAAATGGCTTAAATAGCTTCCCTGGTTTACATAACTTCTTGAATACAACCCCTGGTCCTTAATATTGTTTTAACAAGCTTTTTTTTAAAATTGGATTTGATCTTAGAAGAAATAACATATAAATGTTTAAAATGAGTATCCCTAAGCTACAAATGTGTTGTCTTTTTATTATATGCTATATAGAAGAGAAAAAACCCTGGAATTTAAAGTGACTGTATAGGTAAACCACCTTTTTCAGGTAAGCCTATAATCTAAAGTATTAAAACAAAATTATCTTTTGGAAAAAAATGTTTTATATTGCAAAAGTGGATTCTCCTTTCTCTGAAAGCAAAAACAACAGAAGCCTTACAATGTGGTAGCAACCAGAAGGCACTCTGAGGGTGTCTTTACACATGCTCCAGGGTGGGCTGGAGGTGCTTTTATTAGAGCAGCTCTTGTGAGCTGTTCTAACTAGAGCACCCACAGCATCACATGTATTTAGTGTCCCATGCTTCAAAGTGGCAGCAGGGAAGCTTTAACTAAAACTTGTTCAACGAGTTTTAGTTAAAGTGCCCCTACTGCCATTTTG